AAGACTAAATTCTTTTTTAATTTTTCGACTGTCCAGTTTTGTAAATATAATAGTTGAAAGTTAGAGATAATAACATACGCTCTTATGTAAATACCGTAAAATTTAATCTTTATCACCAAATAACTTTTAAACGTGATTCATCATTCATACAAGACTTGGGATGTGTGTAGTGAAAGTTATAACTAATACAGAGAAAAATGTGACTATTCCTCGAATGGTTTTTATGTAAAATAACTTTTATTAAACAAAGTTATGTTCTGCATTCACATTCCGTAAATGTGGCAATATCTCAACTCTGAAGTACAGCGAGCATGCGTTACTCAGCTAACTCAGCTTAGAGGTTAACTTAGCAATTGCTTCTGCTGGCTTAGTGCGACGTTGTCAGGTTTCCGATGTCTCACTTGCACGAATAACTCTTTCTCTATCTAGCTATAGGAACCACCTTCAAAAGATTAACACCAGACTGACTGACTTTGATTGCAGGTGGCTTTGATTAGTAACATTCTAGGAATGTCTGGACACCTACCCCAACTATTACCCCGTTCGCCATTTTTAGTCTTACAGCCCCAAGTATGCGGCATACGATTTAAACCTGCTTCATTTTCTACTCCACTCGCGTACACAACTGAAACCCTTGTTGTTCTAAAATTGTTAGAGCTAATCACCATAGTTCGCAATTCAATAATATATTTAAGCATATTAATAAAGATTTTAATTCTGTAAATATTCAACAACAAAAAATGAAGTAGGTTCTAATCGTGTGCTGTGCATTTAGGACTGTTTGACTGTAAATGGCGAATAGGGTAGTAGTAGGGGTATGTATTTAGACCCTCCTAGAGTGTCACTAGCTTCAGTTTTACTTTGACGGCATCCAGCGGATTCTATTGAATGGAGGCGCAAAGCTAGCATTTTTTGAAAATTTTTGATCTTATTTACTGCTGTTATTATTAATGTTTTCGGGAAAAAACTATGAGAAAACCATTTAGGAAGTGTCAAGAATTTTTGGTAACTTAGCTTTACATAATAGTAAGATAAGATTTGAAAAGGCTTAGAAAAAAACATGCTGCGGTACTGCTTCATCTTACATCAAAAATCGGTTTATTTACATTAATATAACAGTCTTCCAAGTTTTGCCAAGAATAATTAATAACTCAAGAATAAAATCATCTGCAAGCTTAAAATTTTTAAAAATGTTGCAATTACTGAAATAAATAACAAAACCACCGCGTTATTTTTTTTCGAGGTGTTGGCGATCACATTTTTTTCGAAGCCTAATTGCATAATGCATAAGATTTTCTGTGATCTTCTAATATAGGTTCTACTCGTCTAAAGAATTCAGAAAACTGTTCAACTTAAACATCCTGTTAGAATTAAAATAAAAAAAGATTTCATATCTGAATCTTCCAGTGAGAGGATCATCGAATCATCTACTATTTCTTCTTGTTCAGCATCATCTTCAATCTCATCCTCGTTTATCTCATTGCGAAAATCTGCTCGCAGCTCAAACAGTCAACTCCACAACAGTTTAAATAAAATTCTGATTCTTTTTTTTTTAGTTTTTAAATATTGAAAAAACGCGCTTTTTCAAACTCGAGGAAACAATGACATAAAATATCGCTACGCATCTCATTTTATAAATAAATTAATCCTCCACAAATTTTCTCTGGATGGTACATACCTATGCCTTGAGGAGGAGATATTACGAAAAAACTGAAAAAAAATCAATTTTTTCTTATTATTGTTGATAAAAAACATGAAGCCAAGGGTTGATTTCTTAACAAACTTGAAACATTTTTATATGCACGTAAATGAACCGATTTCTGCAGAGAAACTAAATCAAGATGAAACAGCTAACATTTTTCTCTGATGTCAAGGCTAAAAAAAGCTAAATTAATGTTACAGGCTTGTGTCTCATTCTAAAAATTCCAGTTTTGACGACGCCTGTAATCAAACTGCAGATTTTTTTATATTTCTATGGCATAGGATCTTAAAGTTTCTAACATAAATATCATTCTTACGCGTTTTAAAGAGTTGAAAAAAATTTTATTGAAGACTTAGATGCTGTTAAAGTTGCTGGACCGCCTCAGACAAATACAACATTCCAACAGAGAATGCTCTTACAAATGCACGTAATTGAATTTGGGTGTTCCAATTTAAACTTTTTGTATTCTACTTAGGTCTAGGATGTTGCAAGAATTTTTTCATCCCGGCAAGCCAGCGATACAGGCTTGAGAATATATAAATTCGATCTCCCCAAAATTAAAACTATTCGCCCGTAATGCTAAAGAATGTTCATTGTCTTCTCAAAGTGTTCGGTTATCTATTTGGAAGGTGGTGCGTTAAAATATAACTGATTTTTATACAGTATAAGTATAGTGTAAGGTTTAATTTTCATTTAGTACGTTACAATCTGAATTTTTTGAAAAATTTATAAGAGCCCGCAACGCTCCTTTTATGATTAAGGAGGCTCCAGCGGGAGGAGTTAGGAGGTCACAGGTAGATTAAGTGATAGATAAAAATACGCTGATTCCAACGGTGTCCTTATTTACCCCTCTAACCCTGAAAAATTTTGAGATATTCGTACATTATACATAGCCTCTCATGGAGCAACGTGAAAACATCGGTATTTTCTAACAATAATCGAGGAGTTACATATCAGGACTGTAACTGTTTTATAGAAAAACATCTCAGCTTTCAGATGGTACCTTCAAAAATATAGGTAAGCCTGGAAATATTTAAGATATTCCGTAAAGTATTGATCAAGTCATTGAATTAGCAGGGTCATGACGGGATGCCATCTTGTTTTTTGTAAGGCGCGCGCTTTTGAATATTTCAGAATTACATTGCAAGTACTTGCATAGGATTCATGTCATTGGTAACTCTTTTTTAATCCTGTTATCCTATGGATTACTTACACTTATTTTTTTGTTTAATAAAATAGAACATTGAAAAATTTTAACTGCAATTATTTTTTATTTTATCACAAATTGCGTCAATAATTTTAATATTTGAAGTAACTCTGACTTTATTATTTACACTCATAGATAATAATAAGGTGATACGATTTGTAGAATCTTTTTTATATGCATCTATTAATACTTCTGTTGATATCGATTCTTTGGCCGTTTTTTAAATTATCTCATCATTAATAATACCTTTTAATACACTTAATTTTTTATTGTTATCATCAATTACTTTTTTATTTCTTTTTTGCTGTTGCAAAATCATTTCAGCATCCTGCAAGTCTTGATGACTCTTACAGTGATGTATGATTTCTTTCATTTTTTATAACCCAAAAAAACTAATTCTAAATGAAACGCTCCGTACGTGACAGAAGCTGCTGTTTGTTTACCATAGGTACGGATACATCATATATATAGTTTTTTTTTTTTTATATTATAGTGCTCTACGTCCGGCTCCTTTTGATAAGGGCACTACTATGGGCACTTAGCATTTGAGAGAAGGAAGGGAAGAGGGATGGGAGGCCTCCCATTACTGGGAGGTGGGTAGGGGGAAATTAGGAAATTATTGCTGCGAGGAGGTCGCCTAAACCCTCTTCGAGGGGCATTGCGTGGTAAAAAAGCACATGTGAGAATCACAGAAGTACTTGCCCGAGAAAGTCGCACTGGCCGGGAATCGAACCACGGTCTCCCGCGTGCCAATCCTCGACCTAGCCGACTGAGCCACCGCGCGCTCCATATATATAGATGATGTTGCTCGCCTGCTCGCATATATTTATACGTATATATAGATATATACTCACAGCCGGAATACCAACTAACCGAATGGTTTTCGGGTTGGTACCAGTACTCGCTGGAGCCCCCTTAAATATGGTTATAGTCATTCCTTTTTTAAATAGCAAACCGGTCAGGCAGGAAATGGTATTAACTTGAATTGAAAATTCCACATTTTTTTATCGCTAGTTGGTTATTTTTCTACTAACGTTTTAATACGGCTAACTAGGCCTTTTTCTATGATTATGATGTAAGAGTATCTAAAAATAGAATAAACATAAATGTGTCATATTTTCGAAGCGGTTCAAAAATAGTAATGTTTGTTTATTTTTTTAACCGTGCATTAAATAATATTTAAATGTAAAAAAGTAAAAGATTTATTATCAAAGGTATTTTTTGCATCAAGACCAAAATTTTTACTATTTGATTAAAAAATACAATTGTTGTTATTTAACTTGTTGCTTATAAGAAAATACTTTTAGTAATGTTATGAGTTAGATGTAATGCATATTTTTTCATAATCATCTAAACGATTGTTTTGAAATATACTTAAAATGTTTTGTACTTTTTCTGATTGTCAAAAGAGTTTCTTTAAGGAAGCTCAATGATTTATCAGAATGTAGGGAAAGCACTCAAACTTATAACAACTATTCAGAGTATCACAATACTATGCGATTTTTCAATATTTTTAACCACTAACTTTTTTCTTATTTAAAAAACTTGGAGTGTAAAATATTGTAAAATTTACACAGTTTCTTGACACTTTCAATAGTTAATATTAAATTTTTTTAATGCATTCACTACATTTCGAGAAAACCATTGATTGTCTTGAACACTTCCACACACTTATCTCTTATAAGTATTGGGTAGCACACACCTAGGGCTTTATCTTGACTAAGTCAAAAGTGCAGGATTTGCGGTCTGCGTATATGCAAAAGCTAATTGTTGACATTACGAAAATTCATGTTTTACTTTTGTATTGTTAATGGTGAAGGTCCGAAATCATCTTAGAAACAACAACCGAGGAATGGAGATCCGTCTCGCAATAATATACATTTATACTTTTTGGTAATAATCAAACATTACACAATGTAATGTATAAAACTGTACAATAATCCTAAAATTCAGCAAAGGTTTACAAAAAACATTAGAAATTACAATGACAATATTGTTAAATTATATAAGCGTGTACATATGTAAATATTAATTGCATTAAAATTTGTTTTTTCTGTAACTGTTCTACTGCTGTTGATCAAATAATTTTAGGTAGAGTTGTGGAAAAAGTACATTGCTTGGGAGCGTAGCAATCCATTGAGAACGGAGGACACGACACTAGTTGCTCGCAGAGTGATGTTTGCAATCGAGCAATGCCTACTTTGCCTCGGACACCATCCAGCTGTATGGCACCAGGCCGCTCATTTTCTTGACTATAGCTCAAAGATTCTAACTGAAAAAGGCGACGTTAATGCGGCCAAAAACTTGAGCGACGAGGCAGCTACGATGTTTGAGCGTGCTACCACCACCTTGCTGTCAAGAAACATGTTGTTGTATTTTGCTCATGCAGACTTTGAAGAGGGCCGGGTTAAGTACGACAAAGTGCACCAAATTTACCAAAAGTTCCTCGACATTCCAGACATCGATCCTACGCTGGTAAGTGCTTGCTCGCACATGTGGTTTAGACTACGAAGAGGGACGTAATGTATTCTACATACTAAGTCTCTTTTCGTATTTCAGACCAATTACGTTATGTGACTTTTGTAATTAGGTTTAAATTATTACAGTTTTATAGGGAAAAACTTGATAATTTTGGTGTCTATTTCTTCATGATAATCTATTAAACGAAACGTAGATGGAAAATGTAATACTAACTAAGTTTTGTTTTACATGGTAATACAAAACCCACTAAGATTTTTTACGAAATTATCACTAAATATGCATACTGTGCATACTACGGCACAAATACAATTTTGCCGTCTATCCTTAGAGAAGGATTTGTTAGTAATTAACTTCATATGTTGGCTATTAACTTACGTATAATATGTATCCCGCGTGGTGCCATATAAAGCGGCGCAGGTTCAACTTTTCTCAGTGTACGGCTAAGAACATTAGCACGCCGTACTGAAGAGTTCAGCTAGTGGTCGAGAACGAAACGAGCTCATTTCCACTCCTTTTATCCTATAATTCCTCCTCTTTCTTCACCTCTATTTATTAGCTCCAAGTATAAATTTAACGCTTGTAGCAAAATTATATTTCTGCCGTGGTATGCACAGTGAGCGTATTGAGTGTTAATCTCGTAAAAAATCTTAGTGAGTTTAGTATTACTTAATGAGCAATTACTTTTTCCATCTACGTTTCAGTTTTATAGGGGTAAATGACCACGTTAATGTAGATTAATGTTTTTGACTGTTTTATTTTATCGTTATCTGCAGCCTTTTGTGCAATCAAAACAAAGAACTTTTTTCTGTTTTCATTTTAAAAAAAAATAGATATTTCAGAGTTGATATAACTTGGTTGTATTACTACAGACGGTTATCAAATCAGCACCAGTTACTGCGAACTTAATTACTGCATGGGTATCACCCATTAGCTTTTCATGTTGAAGCCCAGATCCACTTACTGCACACCAATCATTGCGGACTTTTTAGAGTTTTTGTCGTTAAGATTCATTGAAAATCATTAAGTCAAACAATTATGTATTTCATGATGTGACTACTACTGCTACCGCTACCGCCACCACCACCGCTACCACTACCGCTACTACTACCACTATTACTACTAATAATTGTATATTACCTCAAAACCTATAAAAAATAAACATAAAACTGCTGATTCCTGGCTTTTCAATAGAATGAATGCTACAAAGATGTTTTAAGAGACGTTGAGTTTTTTACAGTGACAATACATAAATCAACGTCAGTGTGGCACTTATTATGTTACGATAAATTTCTTAACTACAGAAATATAAAGATTTTGATACTTTTTTCTTTTTTTTAAACTTATAATAACCCCGAAAATGCTACATACATGCTAATTATTTACTATCATTCTAGAAACCATATACGTAATTTAAAAAGTTTATTTCGAGTACCTTTTTCTTACTCCCCATGTTTTCCATTTTTATATTTGTTATTCCTTTTGGTTCTTTTAAGGTAAGATTGAAATATTGTAATAAAGTGATGAAATCGTGTGGTCGCAAGATTTTAATATAAAACTTAAAGATACATTAAAAACTACTCTTAAGACTCCTATCATTGATTAATTTAAGTTTCTAGCACGCGTTCATCTCTTTTATAAGGAATTTAGATGTTATAAGGTTCAATCATAAAATAATAAATATCACATGGATGTTGATTTCGGAATTGTTACTAAAGAGAACGTCAACGTCTTTTATAATATTCTCGTAACATTTATTCTATTTTCAGTGAATACGTTCAGCAGTAGGTGTGTTTATTTTTTGTCATTTTTAGAGATAAGATTACAATTACTAAGTAGTAAAATAATTTTAATAAGTATTATTAAACCCTCTATGATTATGATGTAAGAGTATCTAAAAATAGAATAAACATAAATGTGTCATATTTTCGAAGCGGTTCAAAAATAGTAATGTTTGTTTATTTTTTTAACCGTGCATTAAATAATATTTAATAGATGTTAATGTTATTACTCGATGGGTAAGTATTATGTCAAAATATTATACATTGACCTCTTTCCATCTAAATTGCGCTATGTATATTTTTTATAGAAACGTCGCGCTTATTTTTAGAGTGAAAATCGCTGGAGTGCGAAAAACTTTGTCAATTAAAAATTACAAAGCAGTGAAAAAAGTTATCCGCTTATCTAATAACATTAATATCTATAATATCGGCGTTCGACCTAAGGACACGCATAAGGAGAGCAGTGGAGAAAGGTGTCTGCCGAGGCTTTGGTGGCGAAGTTGGTTAACGCACCTTCCCGGCAAGAAGGAGGCCCAGGTTCGACTCCTGGCCGAAGCGGATAACTTTTTTCACTTTATTAGAAATTTTCGTTTAACACTAATAGTATTAATAGTATTAATAAATAGTACATTGTAGAACTTCAAATTTTACACAAATAAAATTGAATAAAAAATGATGTATGAGGTATACCAATAAGTAACCGTACGGAAGCGAGCAAAGGGGCAAGAGATGTTGTGTTGTACATTTTAAAGTTCTTGAAGTCCATTAAAGTGTTTGCAAAAAGATATGTATTGGTACAAAGGACAGAGAATATATTTTCTCGTTGGGGAATGCTATTAAAAATGAAAGCAAAAAATATTTAAATAGGGGTTGCATTTTAAATCAATTAGATAAGTTTTATTCTTAATTTAATTAAATATTGATTCGTAAGATACTTAATTTTCTAAATTAAACAAGATAAAGGTGCAACATTTAAAAGTTTTAAAAAGTATAATGATACTTCCTTCCAATCTTGAAAAAATAACTATTGTATGAATTAAATATGGAATGAAAGAACTATGAAATTCGATATATTTTTAGAGAATCTATTACTGTCATACTATCAATTTAATTGAAACATGTTTTTCGTGACTTGCGAAAAATTATATTTTAGGTAATATAATCTGAAATATATATATAAATATTAGGTAATATAATATGTAAATCATAGTTTCCATCACATAAGCGCTATTGTCGCTAGAGCTATTCTTGGGTCCCCTGAAAAGTAACTGTAAGATATTCCAGGTTAGATGGTGCTTATGTGGTGGACACTATTTTTGTCACCGGGGAAGCAATAACGTCCAAATATTGAAAAAGAAGCCTAAAGTAGAAAACAGCATTTTTTTTATACCTGGTTGCACTTGTGACCAGAGCAAGCACCGAGAATGAGAGGCGCGTAATGCTTACCTTGGAGCTTCAAAATAAGGCATCACAGAATATCAAAATATTGGTTTAAATAAAAAATATTTAGCTAATAAAACCTACTTCCAAATGTACTCGTCACGTACGGTAATCGATAATAACACTATCTATCAAGTGAATCAATTAATATTTTTCTCTAAAAAATTATGCTCTTATATTATTTGGGTCACAGAACAAGAATCTGATATTAAAATTCTAAAGTTTAAAATAGTGTATCCAATTTAGTGGCCATAATATTGAAACTTCGCAAGTCTTCAAAAGTATTGTTGCATGTATTTTCTAGGGTGCTCGTTACGAATATTTCATTCAAGTTTAATAATTAAAAATAGCAGATCTAGTATGGTGCCAAAAAATTAAAAAATTTGTTAGTGTTCTCCAAACAGCTTGTCTTAAGAATTTTTGGGGTGTTTATTATAAATGATACAAAAAAAAAATGGTATAACTTATAGTTCCAAACTTAATATGATAGCTAGCAAAATAGAACGTTTCCGACTCTTCACAAATCTAATTTTAAATGGTTTTTAGGAGTGCTTGTTAGTAATATTTAATCATGATTTCGTACTCTTTAATGAATCACGTAGATAATACAGTGGCCAAAGAACTAAAAGTGTTTAGATCTCAATTCTGCTCTTCAATATTATATTTTTCTTAAATACGTTATGCTACTAAGAAAAGTTGAAATTTTGTGTATTAAACGTTATTACTTACTTTAATGTTACAGCTGTGGTAATTTAATTATGGCAATTAAAATGTTGTATCTTACAGTTGGTTTCAGTTCCATTTCATTCTCTACTTAACCTGTGACTATGTAGGATCTGTGTTACAAATACTTACATACACATATATAAAAAAATAGTTTACGTCAGTCTAGAAAGTGAGAGATTTATTATTACAGAGTATTAATTATTATAGAAGTAGATGATGTTAATACTAGTCATTGTCTACAAAATTTCTTGATTTTTTGATAAATTAACCATTAAAATCAGGTGGTCAAAGAAAAATGATTTCAAATAAGGCCTTGTACATCGTACGTAATTTGTAAGTACCATTTAGAGATGATCACGAGACTATGAATTAAATGTAATACGTAGATCTGCATGTGTTTAGGTGTAAAAATTTTAAACAATGGTAAAACATGCGAATGCATAAATTAAAAAACAAAAGTTCCAAAATAACAAAAAAAAAAAAAATAATAATAATCTGCTGGCTTGATAGACAATGACACAACATTGGATTAGCTATTCTAAACTTTTTGCAAACAACCTTAGTTACGTTATTGTGAGCGCAAAGTACACACTTTAACCCATATTGAAGATGGCTTGACTATTACGTACTTGTATTTTTATTACCAAAAATATTTTTGGGAAATACAAAAGAAGTCATCATGGTGTTGGTCATATTTTTTTCCTTACACCTCCGCTGAAAGTTCGTTCCATCTGACCCGATTTTGAGCTAGAAAAAGCCTCATATCAGTCCTGCCATATGTGCGCAGAACGAAGTGCGCAGATATATATAGTTGTATATTCAGCACCGAGAAGCAGCAGTAGTCATACAATACATATATATATATACGGTTAACGGAGTTATAACCTTTATAGTTTATACAACACAGAAAATCGTTGGATATTTATTTACATAAATTATTGGATGTATATGTATATTTTTTTTTGCACAATTTACATGTATATATGAATTTATTAATTTCATATGAACAGAGTACACAACACAAAATTAAAACTACCAAATTAATGTTTTTTGATCCGTTACTTTCACTTTAATGATTTATTTAGTATATAAATGTAGTATATACATGTCATATTACAAAAATAAACTATGAAATCTTTTATTTAATCGAATTATGCCTATCACAATTATAATAGTTATTGATAATAACCTGATTTATATTGCACTTACGGATATAAACATTAGGATTTTTAAAATGATCTTTATAGGATCCATGATTCGAATTTAAACGGATTTCTCTTCCTCTCGTTTTGCCAGCACGACCAACCTGCACAAATCCTCGGCCCAATCTGATTCTATATTATATACTACAGTCTCGGCGAGCGTATATATATAGATATACCTATACACATGAACACTCATCTACGTGCATTTAAGTGGTATTGTTCGAGCGACCGATCGATCAACAATAATGCATAATGCACTAAATCTTTGACTGGATCTTTAAACCATCATTTTTAACAAAACTAAAACCGTGGTGACGAACTTTCGGCGGAGGTGTAAGGAAAAAAAGTATACGTACCACGGCCAAAAAGTGGGGCTATTACTGACCGCGCTATATTATCGAGAAGGCTCGGCCGATAATATAGCGCGATCAGTAATAGCCCCACTTTCTGGCCTAGGTACGTAATATACTATTTTGTCATTTTATGACCTATACGATTCTTGCTTCCGTTTTACTCATTATAACTGAAAAACAAAAAAAAATACATTCTAAGTCTTAATACATGTTGATTTGCGATGTCTTGTAGTTTTGATGACTCTCAGCTAATTATTTCTGCATTTTAATACGTGTCGCTGCTAAAAAAAAATTAAATTTTTATAGATTAGTTTGATTTTCTTTCAGGTTTTATCAAACTTGTAAAATCTTTTTTTTTAAACTAATTTTAACCTTTCTTTTGTTAAATGGAGTTTCTCGTCTAAAAATAATAGAAAGCGAAAAGTGGTTTTCCATATTTTATTCACTTCTCTCATCTAAGGAAAGTCGCGTGTATCGTAGGCCCAGTCCTCTTGCTTACTTCTTAAGGGGTATCGTGATATAATACGCATTAAAAGTTTAATACGCTGAGATTGAAGCTAACTGTATACCCCACCCTTCCCGTGACTATGAATTTTTATCAATGACTGTACTCGCACGTGCGCTGTTCGGGTCTAGTCATCTGTTTTCCTCGTTTCCATCAAATTTGAGTCAAGTTGTGCAACTTTGCATAACAATATCTCATAAACTATGAAGCTAGATTTTCTGTGTGCTAATAGTTACAACTTTGAGCTCGGATTTCTTAAAATTTTGACCCATTCGAAATATAATTTAGACCACTATTAAATTCAGTAGACTTTTATTTATAAGAAATAATATATCTCTGTTTGGGGACTTTCGTGAACGAGCCCCCTCAAGCTAAAAATTTCCTACCTGCATAAAATCTATATAAAATCAATTTAGAATCTAAATTTAGTCAACTTAAATACTTGCAGTGTAAATGTGGTTTTTAAAACGAGTTGTACTATGGAGAAGTTTCAGAACTCAGCACACCTTTAATAGTTATGACTAAAAAGCTGAAAATATCAAATTTATCATCAAATAATCTAGATACATTTTAATTAGTAAGTTTAAAAAAAATTTACATAAATGATGTATAAAAGCATAAATAAGTAAAGAATTCGATTGTACATGACGACTTTCACTATTGTTGCTTTAAAAATTTGATGTTTTTAATTTAAATAATTGAGATGTAGTTTCATTGATTAAGAAATTCAATATATAAATGAGGATGCTTTGTACCAGTCATGTTTAAGGAGATAAAGGAAAAAAATCGTTACAAAGCTTTAGAGAATAAATAATTTGATTTTGCAGATGTTAGCTAAATTATAGCCAGAAGAAAGAGTTATATGGTTTTCGTTACTGGTACATTTTTTTTTTTTAAGAGTATTATAGCGAAATAGTCCCTAAAAAAAGTACAGTTAATAAAATTTGAAGGACTTTGTTTTGAACAGCCTAAAAACTTTGATAACATACATGTGAAGGAAAGAGTAACAACAAAATAATCTAGACTATCTTAGTAATATTTTATGTGTAAATTTATAACAAAGTGATCCATAGGCATTTTTTATGAAATTCTACCTGTGCCTCCCACTATGTACAGCGATGTAAAAATATTTCTTGTTATTTTACACAACTCAAATCTAAGTCGAAAATAATTCCAATAAAACCGTGAAAAGAGTTTATATATATGGTAATGAAATTTTAGGCATATATTCAATACATGAAATTCGCTAGAAGAGCTGAAGGTATCAAATCTGCAAGAACCGTCTTTAAAAGGGCGCGTGAAGACCCCCGGTGTAAGCACAATGTCTACGTAGCGGCTGCCCTTATGGAATACTATTGCACAAAGGATAAAAATATAGCGTTCCGTATTTTTGAACTTGGACTAAAAAAGTTTGCTGATAATCCAGATTATATACTGTGCTACATAGACTATTTATCACATTTAAATGGTAAAGTTTTTTTTAGATCCTTTTCATTTTTTTTAGACAATCCGTCGATTTACACAACTGACGATTGATCTTTTTTATTTTTAGAGGACAACAATACAAGAGTATTATTCGAACGAGTATTGTCATCTGGAAGCTTGGAGCCCGAAAAATCGGTGTAAGTATTCTGATGTAGTATTATATTGTCTCATGCTTAAATGATTTGTTGAGAAATCTAAGTGATGCCCCCAATAAAGTCAAATTTAGGTTTTTGAAAAATAGACCGTACGGTCTTTAATTTCGCACTTAGTGCCGGCTTGTCTAAAAAAGTGATCTAGAAGTGAAACGTATTTTAGACTTATGACTACTTTTCAATGGAAAGAAATTCCAAAAATAGAATGAAGTTAATAAAATCTATACTTTTTGTGTACTATCCAGCTTAAGGGAAGGCTATTTATGTACTCGTGACGTTACGGTCTTGGCCAATAGAAAGCGTTTTGGGGTCCATGGAATACGATGTAATTTTTTGCATCTTCAATAATTATTTTTGTAACAAAAATGACATCTAAAAATTCTGGGCAAAAAAATTATAATAATAATAATCAGGGGTCTAGATTCAGATAATAATTAATTTAAAATTCATGAGTAATGCTAATTACACAAACTACCTTACCTTACGCGGTCCGTAACAGAGTGCGTATACTGAAATTAGTTCAATTTGTTAAGGTTTCTCATCATACCTGTACTACCTATTTACACTACGTCAGACTATCACACCTAAAAATATCGGTTGATGAAGTTGGCACAATTAAAGTAACCTGTATCTTTTTATAAACAGTCACTTAATTTTTTAAATATTATACAATATTGCATGGCAAACCTTCACTTTTTTTTATATCATTGAAAAGNATAATTTGAAGGGTATTGCATCAAATTTTATCAAGTTTGAATGGCCTCCTATAAGAGACTACGTTCAACATAAAATTTTTTAATGATTAATTTGAGATGATTGCCTGGCAACATGGTTTGAAATTTTGTGAGATGATTTAGTTCGTATTCAGATTAGGCCGATAGAGTAAGCAAATCCACAGGATGAAATTCCTTACAGTATCTCACATGATTTATCCGAAATATTGGGTGGTAAGGAGCAGATCTTTAAAAAAGTGCCTGTTTAAAATGTGGGCATCATTTTTTTTATTAACGATTTTATGAAAAAAATGCTGAAAAATTGGGTTTTTTAATGAATTCTTTAAGCCAATCAATAATTGGTGGTATGATATTTTGAGGTATTATTAAAACAAACATTTTACTCTCGAAATTTTTAAAATCAGTTTATAATTTTTTTAAATAATTGACATATAACGTCGAAAAAATCGAAAATTTTATTGATTTTTTACTCCGTCAAAAAGTTTTAACAGCTCTGAAACTCAGTGAAAATGTTAAAATGTTCAAAACTCAGTGTAAATTTCAAAAAGGTGAAAAAGACCTACTAAGTATACCAAAACAATTAAAAAAAACTAAATGAAAAATACTAAAGCAGTATGTACCATGACATAATTTTTATACGATGTAAGAACAGTATAGTTTTTTTATGCTGCTCTCCAGCTTGCTGTTGTGTATTTTGTTAAAGTACGTTTATTTAAACAATTGTCAACGTTTATTCCAACATAAGAACGGTATAGTTCTTTTCATGCTGCTCTCCAGTTTGCTGTTGTATATTTTGTTGTTAAAAGGCGTTTATTTAAACAATTTTCAACGTTTATTCCAACATGAGAACCCTTCTGTAGAGCGTCACCCTTGAAAAAAATTATTTGTTTACAATGAAGTAATTAACAAATTATCGACAATAGCAATATGGTAGTTGTTAATATTTCATTACACTATCCAAAATAAATAAATAGTTCAAAATCGGATTCAAATGACCGAGATACAACTTTTTTTGCTCAAGGTGTGAATTTGAAGTCGTTCGATCGAGAAAATTCTAGTTAAAAATGACAAGCGTGTCTTTGCGACTTGATCAGATGGTTGTCAATAAACATTAAAATTAGCCTTTATAAACATGATACTAAAAAATATAGGATATAAAAATGCAAGCATTTAACTACCTACACTACAAATTTCAAACGTCTGTGTTGTTAAATAAACATATGGCGTTAGAAATAATTTAAAAAATTATCTCGGCTTGTTAACATTTTACAACAATAATTTTTTTTTTTAATTCGTAAAAAAATTCCAGCTTATAATCAACTTCTTAATGAGATATTAAAAAAAACCATTCGCAAAAAAGTCGCACTTTTGTAAAGATCATTTTGTAGATGAAAAATTGCAAAAATTGTTATGCCATTAGTGAATTCATAAACTGGACGTTACAACAAAAAAAAGGAGTTCCCGCTGGGCCCTGTCAGATAACGGCAACCAGATTTGATTAAATTAAACATTTGACACTTTTTTATTAAATAAATGCATTTTCTCAAAGAGATAAAAATATTTTTAACAAAAAAATTTGAGTAGTTTCATGCTCACGGAAGACATACTTTCACTGAGTTTTAGAGCTGTTGAACATTTTTAACAGAGTAAAAAATTAATAAAATTTTTGATTGTTCGACGTTATATGTCGATTATTTGAAACAATTATTAATTGATTTTAAATATTCTGGTCGCCAAATGGTCGTTTTATTAATGCCTACAAATGGCATTCTACGAAATATGGATTTTGTGATTGGCTTAAAGGTATAATTAAAAAGCGCGATTTTTCAGTATTTTTTTGCATGAAATCGTTAATTGAATAATGATGCCCGTATTTTGAAAGGGAGCTTTTTTAAAGATGTTTTCCTTATCCAATATATAATTCGAATAAACGATGTGAAATACTGTAAGAAATTTCATCCAAAATCAGTCTTCTAAGGAGCTAATTTTACCGGTCTAGATGTAAATTCTCCAAGTTTCATACATACTTATAGTATTTTGACTTTGGGATGAGCCACCTTAACTGCAAAATTTAAATTCTTGAACTGTTTCATCACAAATAACATAGAAATCATAACAACACAACAAATAGGTCAGTGGTTCTTAATACAATGATTATTATTGTTGTACTTTTAATTTATGTTTATAATTTCCTTCGTTTTTTTATGCAATAAATAATTTTAAGAATTTAAATTTCGTGGTTCACAAATTACTCTACGTTCGGTATACTCGATACAGTATTATAATAAGGTAGTACTTGTGTAAATGATACGTAATAGCAAGAGTTATAATTATATAGGTAATATCTAATAATCATAGTACAATAATTAATAAACTAAATCTCGTACTTACATCGGATTACTTTGCATCGATAGCATTATTTACTTTTCACAACTTTGATATTTTACTTGTAGAACTCCGACAATTAATTTGTGACATAATTAATTAACACGATACACAATTGCAGCTTCACATTTCTTTAAACACTATAGTAGAAAACTAGTTGTTAAAATTTATACTAGTCTGTTAGCTTCAACTTCAAAGTCAAATAAAATTCTGAATAGCGTTTATTATTTCCATAAAACAGTACCTTTCACCGGATCAATAAATGTCTTTTCAAACATTATGACATTGAAATTAAAACTATTTATATTTCCTTACGGTTTTCGTAATCTTAAAAAATTAGCAAACTAATACATCTGTTCATCATAAACAATACAAAGTATTAATTTTCTTGAGGTAGTATTCACAGATATCATATTAAAAAGATTTATATGACTAATTTTCCAAGAATATGAACTCTGCAGGCTCTCATAGAGGCTTCAAGTACAATAATAAATAAAAAATGTTGATAAAATCATTCATTTTAGTGACATATGGAATCGATTTTTGGAATTCGAATCTAATATTGGAGATCTAGCGAGTATTGTCAAAGTAGAAAAACGGCGCAGTGCTGTTCTTGATAAGGTTCATTTATAACACTTATTATAACCATATCGATTTTAGTTTTATTACTACGTTGATATTAACTTGCTAAATAAGGATGAATATTTTTTTTTAGCTCAAAGAATTCGAAGGAAAAGAAACTGCCCAGCTGGTGGACAGATATAAGTTTCTTAACTTGTACCCCTGTACGCCGATCGAACTAAAATCCATTGGTTACATAGAAGTATCGAATATCGGTAGAACAACGTCGTGCTCACTGCCTCGCACTCCTGATGCTGAAGAAGTTATTGCAGCACTCCCAAAGCCGGACTTGGCCCAAATGATTCCCTTCAAGCCTAAAGTAAATCCTTTGCCGGGAGAACATCCTGTTCCAGGTAGGTGTTTTTAGAATCTGCAATGAATGAATAAAAATTAATAATTCCACTAGTTTACAAAGCATGTATGTAACCACCTCACCTCAAAAAATATAAAAAAAGCAAGATTGTGAATAGTAATGATTAATTGTATTCCACAGGTGGATCATTCCCACTTCCACCGGCCGCCGCCCAGTTATGCACGATGCTACCGCCACCAGGTTGTTTCAGAGGTCCTTTTGTTGCAGTTGAAATGCTCATAGATGTTTTTAGTCGAATTCAGTTGCCAGAACATGGTGTGTCTTTTTTGTCATATACATCTTACTACATTATATAATAGTTTAGGTAGGGCTAGCTATTAGCCCCCCCTTCCTCTATAGTATCCCTACAAAATGAGAGAAAACTAGTTTAATTAAAACCCGTTAGTATTTTGCTAAAAACCTTTCCACAGCCCCCCACAGCATTTTTATTGCTCTCTCTTACTTTTTTGTTCCTTGTATTACTCAATGTCTCTTTTTCTTGATTGAGTGGTTCATGTCTATTTATAGATTAACTTCATACAAACTAATAAAAAATTTTCAGTTAAGACTAAATTCTTTTTTTTTCTTTTTTTTTTTTCTTCAAACTTTCTTCGCATGATTTCATTAGTATAAAGTTTAGTTACAATATCTTTTTTTATTAAGACTATTTAAGTATGCATCAATGTAAAATTTATTATTCTTAAATGTAACTACATGACATAATATAACTACTTATATAAATTTCAAAACTTTAACATTGAAATATAATAATTAGAACTGTCGTAGTTGAGGTCAGTAGCTCTACTTAACTAACAATCAGACAATACTTTCCTGTCTGCAAATTAAAAAAAAATAATAATTTTTTTAAATGATGGAAGCCTTGTCTTACAAATATTTAAAGCAAAGTCGCTAAAACCATTGTAATCACTAACGGCGAAAACTACTGAACCGATTTTGCTGAAATTTCGCATACCGATTCTTGACACTTCCTAGATGGTTTCAGTATAGTTTTTATCTTGAAAATTTTAATAACAATAGCAATAAATAAGCTCAAAGTTTTGCGAAAATACGCCAGCTTTCCACTTTAGTTCAGTAGGATCCGCTAGGTAGCGTTGACATAAAATCGAAGCTACCTGCAACAGAATGAAATAAGTGTGGTTATAATACGCCGGAGCGTCTCAAAAAATCCTGCAGTTGTCTACCGGCAGTTCATCGAGGTGCATCGAAAATGTAGATGATAGTTGTGCAGCTGGGTATCCCGGTTACCGACGACACTCTTTTCTAATGGGCAAGTGACCTTGAGCTACGTGCTCCCTGAATTTCCAGGGTTGACGAGTGCCACAAAAAAAAATTATTATAACGGATTACGTCTCTGGTGAAATATCAGGAGACGTATCTAGCCAGAGCACAACCTTCTCCAACACGTCACAGTTATGTGGCCATTCAGCCGACCCGCCTGGTGCCGTCAGAGAATTTTTGGATACAAATATAAGCCAGGAAAGACAGCTCTGAGCGACATGAGCAGCCACAACAGCATACCCACATTTTCCCAACTAACGATGAGCGATTGGTTATCCGGGGAACGACCCGAAGACGAAATATTCTTTGGTTAGCGGCGTAGAGACTCCGAAGTTAAGAGTCAAGCTACCTGCAGCCAGCTATTCATCATCAGGAATAATAATAAGAAATAGCTGGAAGTTTCACCACTGGCTCTTTTCAGGGCCTCTATAAGTATTTACGTTTCCTACTTAACCATCAATCTCATCGGTTTTTCCAAAGGCCACCCAAGTTTAAACTACCTTGCTAACAAATACATTTTTACTACCATTTGTGAGAGCGATTCATCGACTAAAAGACTATGTTAACTAAAGACAGCCACTATTAAAACAAGTCAGTCATTCACTGGCAGCCGTCACGAGCGGAGTTGTTCTTCGCAAGGCTGGGAACCCTGGTGACCGACGACCCTATATTACCCTCTCGACTCTAAGCATTCAACCAGGAATTATTGATCCTCTCCAAGGTCTGCGGTGAGTGAACCTAACAGTTATGAAGGGAAAAAAAACTTAAGCCAACGGGACAGTCTCTAACGGGCAAGCATCGCGAACCAATCTCCCCATCTTAGATCACCAAAACAACTGAGTCTGCAAAAAAAGGTATCTTAAACACAAACGTCTTTGGCGTTATTCCAAGAGACGTTGGAGAAAATCTCTAACAACTAGCTTGAAAGCTTCGGACTTTATAATTTTTCTCCCGATCAGTCTGGGGCTTCAACAGCACTCCAGAGAAGATCTCCCTGAGGTATCCAGGCAGTCACAATTGCTATTAACTGAAGTCAAGAAAGAGTTAACTTAATAAGCTCACCGGTCTTTTTTAGGCCCATCGGACGTCGAACTACCTTGCCAACAAATATATTAGAACTTAACAAAGTTGACAGAAAACAGCTTTTAGGGGTCACCAAAGTCTTAAGCATGCCAAAAGTCGCAAGAGGGTGAATTGGTGAAGAAACTGACGCAGAAAATTTTTCGAGATTGGAACAGCAGCGTCAAAATCGACAAATAAAGAATCCATTATGCAAGAGATCAGCTTTTCATTGTACCCACACAGTAATCTCTTAAATCTTTTAGTATTTTAAATAAGTAGAAAATGTATTTGTGTTTTTGTTCCAATAAAAAATGTAGAGATTAAGCTCCAGGACTTTGTTGCTCTGGTAATAAAGTTGTGAGATAAGAGAAAAAAATTTATTTAGTACATACTTTTTGGGAGTTTAAAATCTTAAGAGCTTAAAAAACTAGCTCTTTTCGTAAATTATACTGGAGAAACTGCAAATCAACCGCTTCTTATGGCCAACGATTATTTTATGGCATAAGGAACGCATGTTACTTTTCAGTATAATTATAATTTTTTAATTTTTACAGCTTATTATTTGACCAAATAAACTGTATGTGTTGCGAACAAATATGTTTTTAATAAAAAGATTTTTGTTCTGAAAAGTGTCAGGAATAAATGTAAAATTTCTAACTGAAAACGTTTCACATTACATGTCAACATACTACGGTGTTCCATTTAGTAAGTCTCGGGTGAAGCCGTGACATGACGGGGGGCTGCTAGTTCCATATAATATTATACCACGTGAGCGTATCAACTCGTGCGTTGAAGTATTGTAAACATCTTTGTATGAATTCCGTAGGACTACTATCATACACCGTAGCTAGCTTGTACAGACTCCGTTTATATCTAGTACTTCCGATTATGAACATTTTTTTATTTAAGTAACTTGTTTAAAATTAATGTAAAGGAGTGGTGTTTTCCTACAAAGTTACAGTATACTCATAAAGTTTACAGTTTAACAAAACGATAAGGTCTGGTAAGTTTCATGTGTTTAAGTAGTATTTTTAAAAGAATTTTGAAAGCCTTTTTATATCATGGTACTCAATTATACTCAAAAATTGTTAGCCTTGCTAAGTTCTGAAATATAAATCTGAAAATGGTTGAGTTCTGTTTTGTTTTTTGGTGCAACTTATTTTTTGTATAACATTCGTAATATTGCATGATCTTGTACTCGTACATTAATAAAATTAAACTGCGTAATGTTGAATTTTGGACTGGAACTATTTTTGAACCTTACAATAAACAAGGATTAAAGTAATTCTTTAACAGTTTAGTATACTTACGACATAACATGGCATTAACGTAATGTTCGAGTTGCATTTAGTAAAAACAAGAAAAAACTTGACTGTTTTTAGATTGTAATTTCAGAAATTTGTAAGGCTAACGATTTATGAATACAATTTCTTACGCTTGTATAAAGGCTTCTAAAATTCCTTCAAAAATATTAATTGAGCACATCAATTTTACATGGCTATTTATTTTTTTTAAAAGGTAAAATATATGGTTAGTAAATACGTCATGGTTGGACGAAAATATAACTACCGCCCTGACAAGGCAAATAAAATGATTGAATACTCATCAATAGTAAAAACTGAAAATTATTAATAAATTTATAAATATTGCATTCGATTTGTATTAAGTTTAGGTGCGTTGACTACTTTTTTGTAGACCATCTATACAAGTTTTTAGCGTTCCGATTGCATTTTTCTCTATTGGAATATCCCTGATCCTGCACCTTTATACTATTTATTATGCAGGATTCCCCATACACATCAAAAGTTCAAGCTCAATACTAAATTTACATCTCAACTAAAAATAAAACAAAAAATTTCGAAAAGTATTGCGTCAAAGGGGGCTCCAGCGAGCACGGGTACCAACCCAAAAATAATTGTGTCAGTTGGTATCGCAGCTGCAAGGATATGTGTGAGCACCATCATGTATGTATGTGTGTAACTGTAAAAACTGTACGCTAATACAAGCAGAATATAGTGACTTGAATACTTTACGGAATATCTCGAATTTTTCGGGGTTACCTATATTTTGCAAGGTACCATCTGAAAGCTAAGATTTTTTTTTAAAAAACAGTTTCTATCCTGATATGTAACTCCTACATTATAGTTAGAAAATTAAGATATATTTATGTTGCTCCATAAAAGGTTGTGTGTAGTGCGTGAACTTTGAGAGCAAATATCTCGGAATTTCCCACGGTTGGAAAGATGAGTAAAGACACCGTTGAATTCAGTGGGTACTTATCTATCAATTAAACTACCTGTGACCTCTTAACTCCTCCCGCTGGAACCCCCCAAGGGCAGCCTGAAGATAGTTGAGGTTTCCTATCTTATCGATAAGGTTACTTTAATTGTATAGCTTTATAACATTATTTATTCAGCAGATAGATATTTTATAGAAAAGAAAAAAGAGTAGACGCACATTCTTGACACTTCATGGAATACGTCAAACCCACAATTGACAAAATTTATTGAGAGTTTAAGGCAAAAAGTGAAAATTAGATGTTTGATTGAGAAGGTATTTTCTGATTTTTCACTTTTCTTCTCCATATTTTAAGGAATTTCTCCGAAATCAAGCAATATTTACTCCTTTTGAATTTGGGAATGTGCGTCTACTGTTTTTCTGATATGTAAATATTCGAAATATATTGATTGTTGTAAATTAAGAAAGATACTTATCTATTAATCGGTAGAGTAGGATACTCATCTATGCTAAGTAATATCTCATGTTTATTTCTGTTAGGTAATGTTATTTAAGTCAGTGGTTTACTCTACATAATTTTTAGAAAAAAAGAAGAGAAGACGCATATTCTTCAATCTACAAGGAATATTGCTTGATTTCGGTGACATATTAAACTATAAAGAATAAAAGTAAAAAAACTGATTGCACCTTATCAGTCCAACATCTGATTTTTCATCTTCCACCTTGTATTCTCAATAATCTTGCTGAGTGTAGGCTTGATTTATTCTTTGAAGTGTCCAGAATGTGCGTCTACTCTTCTTTTTTCAATAAAATAGCTAGCTGTTAAATAAATAATGTTATAATGTTATAAAGCTGTATAATCACAGTAACCTTATCGATAAGGTAGGAAACTTCATCTTTCTCCAGACTGCCCTTTATGCTTTTGTAGATTCGGCATGTTAACCATATGACTAGCGTCAAAATTCAATGAGAGTCCCCATAAAGTGGCAAAAATTTAAACCTTATATGGGTGCAATCGACTATTCTAAGCCATAAGAGTGAAAGAGACAGAACTAATGACGGTTAACCTCCCGAGTCGTTACATTATATTTAATATTCTTTTTTTTGTATCTTTTTTTCTCTGTTTTCACCTTCATTGGAAATTACTGCTTGAATACAACCTCTAGAAGCTGTTACCTTCATTTCGTCATAAAAATATAAATACTTCAATGATATCTAAATATTTAACATGTATTAGTGTATTACGCACCTAGTAAATCCTGTGCCGAAAGAAGGGATTTCCGTACTTTCGGCGCAGCATGATAAAATAGTAGTTTTCCTACGAGTTTGAAAAGTCTCTATTTGCGAACCGAGAGGTTTGCGGCCCGAGCCGAAGGCGAGGGACGTAACGAGGTTCGTAAAGGAGACTTTTCGAACGAGTTCCGGAAAACTGCTTTTTCGCCCGAGGAAGTACCAGCCTCCCAAAACCACCCGAGTGCGGAAAAATAGTTTTCGTCATACTGTGCCGAAAGGAAAAACTTCCGTTCAGCTTCGCAGGACGAAAATTCCTACTTTTGGTGCAGTATGATAAAAAAAAGTAAACGCATCAAGCTCAGTGTTTGAGAAATGCCTTAGATTTCATGTTAACCAGCCTCGGTTTTGTCTCGGGCGTTTATTCAAGTAAATATAGTACAGGGAAAATAGTTATACGTTTTTACACGCAGAGCTTAGGACGGTAGTTTTTGTTGAACTCTCTGTTTGTATTTTTTAATTTTGAATAATATTATCAGTTAACAATAATATATACATGGTGAGGGGTAGGCGTGTACATCATGTAGATAGCTGTAGTCCTACTAGTACATATACATATAAATACTCATTATTGTCACTGTTATTACTTTCAATAACTTATCTAACACATTAATAAACTCGTTAATTTCTCTTTTTTTAGCTCCTCTGCCAACAGCAGACAACGGTTGTGATACCAAGTTATTCGATTTGGCAAAGTCCGTCCACTGGATTGTTGACGAAAGTGCTGATGGTAATCATATTATTAACAAACGCAAAAAAATGCGACTAGCTGGTGATGAAAGCGATGAAGAGGATTTACCACCACCTCCTGCCAATGACATTTACAGACAGAGGCAGCAGAAGCGCGTAAAGTAAATTATTTTCGAGACCTTTCAAGAAGACGAAGATGATCATCCATCTCTATAAAAAATTTCGTAGACGATTATTGTGATTTAGGTTAGACATAACGTTATTCCAGCTTATTTAAAAATATATAAATTGTAAAACAAAAGTCACATGTAAACAATATAAACTTTGGGCTTGAGACAATTTGACGTTTACACTTTGGAAAACTATGTCAATTCGATAGTTTTTTCTTAGCGTGATAACATTTATTACGCTGCTACGTCGCAATTTTTTTTTTTATTCAAAATTATCTATAAAATTGCAGCTTCTTTTGAGAAATTTTCAAGTTTAGATAAATTAGTATGTTTGAAAAAATTTTAACACATCATGTGTAAATTACAGTATTTTCTACATTATACTATAATAATAAATAATCAAATGACAGTCTCAATCTTTCATCTACATCTTTAGTTAATTGATATCACGTGTATCACATGAATCACTATAGTTCAAAAATACAATATTTGCATTGTATAAGGAATGAAATTTCATATACATTTTGTCATTCGAATTGAAAGCCTGTATATTTCTATGTATGATACAATTGAACAGTTCCGAAGCGTAAATCTTAATAGAAAATGATGTTTTGCAAAATCACAAGATTTTTTGAGGATTTGACATTTATAAGTGATTTCATTTAATAACAACCTTATATTATTTCTTATGGATAATTTTTTTTTAGATATTTTGCTATTTACAGCTAAGAGTGATGTATACTTCATATGATTGATATAAATATTAAAAATACTTTCTTTACTTTTGTACATTCTAACTTAGTTATCATTATAATATACTATCTTAATATAGGATACTTTATAATAAAAGCGTCACAAGTGCTATCATTAAAATACTTTTATTAGT